TGGGGGTGGGGTGGGGTGGGGTGGGGAGACAGGCAGTCTGGGTTGGAGGTGGTCAATGTGGGGGGGAAAGGGACATCTGTAATATTTTCAGCAATAAAGATACATTTTTTAAAAAGAATATAGAAGGCCACACACATGTAGGGCTGTGTGTGTGCCCAGGGGAGACCTGAATTCCCCCAGTGTTCACTTCTGTCTGACCAGGAGGATCTTCACAAGCAAGAAGTCAGGACTAAGGCAGACCTGTAACCTCCTTCCTGAGCATAAAGGCATCACACACATGCACGAACGCATACACACACAGTCCCTTGGCAAAGACTTAGAAGACTTACTGGTTCCAGGCACTTAGGAAATCTCTATTCAGTCACTTGACCACTAAGTTAACTGAGCAGAGACTTCAGGGGTCACACACAACAAAGAATACAGGTTTTATAGGATTAGTTCAGGAAAGTAACTAAATGAAGAGATACAACAATGAACCCTGGAGAGGGGAGAGTATCTGGTTCCAAAGTTGCCCCGTTATGTTATTAAAATCTTCCAATTTTCAACACAGATTATGGGATATGCAAAGAAAAAAGAAAGTATGGCCCATAGAGGGAAAAGGCAGTCAACAGAAATGGTCTCTGAGGAAGTCCAGGTATTGAACTTAATACACAAAGATTTTAACTTAGCTATTTAAAATGTGTTTAAAGAACTAAATGAGACTAAGAATGATGTGTTATCAAAGAGAGAATATCATTAAAGAGATACAAATTGTGTTTTAAAAATAACCAATTAGAAATTTTGGCATTGAAAAGTACAATGATACAAATAGAAAAATTCATTAGACGTGTTCAAAAGCAGGCTGGAGCTGGCAAAAGAAGGAATCAGTGAATCTGAAGTCAATTGAGATTATCCAGGCTGCAGAACAAAAACAAAAACAAACAAAAGGAAGAAGAAAAAAATGAACAGTGCTCTAGAGATCCGTCCAGAGACATGTATGCACACCAACATATACATAGCATGGGTCCTAGAAAAGAAAAGGGAAAAAAACAGTGAAAGAAATAGTGGCCGAAAACTCCCACTTTGATGAAAAACATTAAAACGCACACAAGAAATTCAACGAACTCTTAAGTAGGATGGACTCAAAGAGATCCACGTCAATACACATTAATCACTAAGAAAATTATTATTATTTTGAGTAAAAAAAAAAAAAGACACAGGAACTAAAATGTTACACTAGAAAATAACTACTTAACAAAAGCAAAGGCAGTAATGAAGGAATGAGGGGAGATATAAGGCAAACCAAAAACAAATAGCAAAATGGCAGACATAAATCCTACCTTATCTGAAGTTTCATTAAATGTAAATGGATTAAATACTTCAAACAAAAGGCACAGGCACAGATGGCAAAATGGATTTGAAAGAAACCAAAGCCTGGCCTGTGTGGCTCAGTGGTTGAGCATCGACCTATGATCCAGGAGATCACTGTTGGATTCCCAGTTAGGGCACATGCCTGGGTTTTGGGCTCCATCCCCAGTAGGTCAATGACTCTCTCATCATTGATGTTTCTATCTCTCTCCCCCTCCCTTCCTCTCTCTGAAATGAATAAAGACATATTAAAAAAAAAAAAAAGGAAACCAAACCTACCATGACCTAACTTTGCAGTCTACTAAAGACACAGATAGGTGAAAGTAAAAGGATAGAAAAAGATAAACTCTGCAAACAGTAACTCAAAGAGAGCTTGAGTGGCCATACTAATATCAGACAAAATAGGCTTTAAGAAACAAGGTTGCTACTACAGGCAAAGGACATTTTTTAATTATAAAGGGATCAATCCATGAGGAAGATATAACAATGATAACATATGCACCTAGCAACAGAGCCCCAAGATAAATGAAGCAAACACTGGCAGAATTGAAGAGAGAAATAGACAATTCAACAATATTAGTTGGAACTTTCAATCCCCCATTTTCAATAATGGATAGAATAACTAGTCAGAATATCAACAAGGAAATACAAAATACTATAAACAACTAGATATGACAAATATCTGTAAAACTCTCCACCTAACAGCAAAATATACATTTTTCTCAAGTACACATGTAACAGTCTCTGGAATAAAACACATGCTAGACCACAAGCCTCAGTAAATTAAAAATGATTGAAATCATACTACATCTGTTCTCTGACCACAATCAGAAAAATTAGAAATCATTAACAGAAATTTGGGAAAATCACAAATATGTGGAAATTTTAAAATACAATGCTAAAGTATCAATGGATCAAAGAAATCACAAGGGAAATTAGAAAGTACTTTGAGATGAATGAAAATGAAAACATCAAAATTTATGGAATGCAGCTAAAACTGTGCCTAAAGGGAAATTTACATCTTTAAAGGGCTACATTAAAAATGATCTCAAACGCATTGGAAAGATGGCTGTGGACTGAGTGGAAGCTACACTGACACTCCTGGGACCAAACTGGAATTACAACTAAAATATAGAAAAACCATCCTGAATAATCAACTGCAACTGAAGACAAGCTGGAGAGCACCCTCATAACCAAGGATGAAAAGTGGAACCCCCAAAGAGACTGGTAGGAAGTGCGGAGGCGCAAGAGGGCTGGCCAGACTCCCACAGGCAGCAGCTGAACNCATAACCAAGGATGAAAAGTGGAACCCCCAAAGAGACTGGTAGGAAGTGCAGAGGCGCAAGAGGGCTGGCCAGACTCCCACAGGCAGCAGCTGAAGGTCTGGAGGGATATCTCAGCTGTAGGGGGTTCACACTGAGGACTCTGGAGCCT